TTCTGACCGAGGCCTCCCAAGAGCCTGAAGGAGACCCCTTCTCCCGACAAAAACCCCTTTTATAATTGACTGTGAATTCTGCTCATTCACATCCAGTCTTTCAAGGGAGGATTTACGGTCACAGACCTTAGCTGGCTTGGGGAGCTGCCAGGCTGAGAACTGCAAAACCTGGCAAGGAGTCTTGGGGAGTCACGAACCAATTAATTAAACTGTCTCCTGAAAACTCCACTCCCCTTTCGCTCCTCTTTTATTTCCCCATTCATTGTCCACCTTCCTCCCAAGTCCACCCCTCTTCTTTAGCTCTTCCCTTCATCCGGCCACTCTGCGCGTGCGCCCACTGGGAACAGGCTCCAGCTGTTCCTCTGCCTCACTGATGTCTGACTCTGAAGGCAGCTGGTAACTGTCAGACGGCCCTGGCCCCCTCTCTGCTTCGGACACAGAGCCCTCATCACCAGCGCCTTCCCCAGACTCCAGGACTGGCCTATTTCTTATGGTCCAACCTTCACAGCCATTCATTGCAACTGGGAAAACTGTAGCCTTGACTAGACGCCCTCGTGTTGGCAGGGTGATGTCTCTGCTTTTTAGTAGGCTGCCTAGATTTGCCATAGCTTTCCTTCCCAGGAGCAAGTGGATTAATTTCTTGGCTGCAGTCCCCATCTGCGGTGATCTTGGAGCCCAGGAAAATAAAATCTGTCACTATCCCCATTTCTTCCCCATCTATTGGCCAGGAATTGAGAGAGCCGTATGCCATGATCTTAAGTTTTCTTAATGTTGAGTTTCAAGGCAACTTTTGCCCTCTCCTTCTTCACCCCTTCTTCACCCGCACCAAGAGGCTTCCACACTCTTTCTAGAGTCTTTTTTTTTTAAAGGCCCAATTTGAATAGAAAAAAAAAGACCTAATCTGCTTCAGCAGATGGCTGTTTCTTTTTAACGCCTGCTGTTTTCAACTTCCTTTCCTGCTCTTGTGCTGGTAAGGCCGGACTACTCAGAGCAAGCTTCCTCTTTTACTTCCTGTGCTAACAGCCAGCCAGGTGTCCGGGTTCAAGCATTCCTGCCATGCCTCAGCGTGATATATAGTAAGCTAATCATCATTTGAGCTCCTAGCTAGGTAAGACTGGAAGAGTGCCCACAAGGGCTTTGAGGGCAACGATAAGGCATTTCCTACATCCCAGGGTAACAGATAACAGAATAACAGAGCTGGAAGGGACCTTGGAGGTCTCCTAGTCCAACCCCCTCTCAGGCAGGAGAACATATACCAAGTCAGACCAATGGCTGGTGCACCAGTTGCGGCCCTATCTGGACCGGGAGGCTCTTCGAATGGTCACTCATGCCCTCGTCACCTCAAGGCTCAATTACTGCAACACACTCTACATGGGGCTGCCCTTGAAGAGTGTTCGGAGACTGCAATTGGTCCAGAATGCAGCCGCACGAGCGATATCGGGTGTACCTGGGTACACCCATGTTACACCTATCCTCTGCAAGCTGCACTGGCTCCCTATTGGTCTCCGGACACGCTACAAAGTGCTGGTGATCACCTTTAAAGCCCTACATGGCCCTGGACCTGGATATCTGCTAGGCCTCCTCCGGGTGCCGTCGGCCGGACAATGCTGGCTGGCAACCACTCGGGGGAGAGCCTTTTCTGTAGCTGCTCCGGCTCTGTGGAACGAGCTACCCCCACGGATCTGGACCCTTCCCACTCTCACGGCCTTCCCAAAAGCCACCAAAACCTGGCTGTTCTGGCAGGCCTGGGGTTGTTGATTTATAAATCAGGTCCAACCCCCAGTTAAGCGAAATGTATGTTGTGTTTTTAAACTGTTTTTGTCTCTTCCCCCTATTTGTTATTTTTAACTCGTATTTTGTAAGCCGCCCGGAGTCCTCCGGGATTGGGTGGCATATGAGCTCATTAAATTACGAATTATAATTATTGGTCTCTTAAAAACCTCCAGCGATGGAGCCCCCACAACTTCAGAAGGCAACTTCTGTTCCACCGATTGATTGTTCTCACTGTGATTTAATTCAGCATCATAAGGACTAGGGTCTCGCCTGATACCAGAGCTGGCTTTGAGTGCCCTAAACTCCTAAGTTCAACCAATTCTGGTCACCACCATGGACCCAAACGATGCCGAGGTCCTGGAAAGAGTGCAGAGAAGAGCAAGAAAGATGACGAGAGGGACGGAGGCTGTGATGGCGACTATGTGCGTCCGTTCTGACGAAGAGGAAGGGGAGGTGTGGCAAGGTAGCCTCCTTCCAGCGCTTGAGGGGCTGTCAGAAGGACGAGAGGGGCCGACCTCTTCCCCAGAGCATTAGACGGCCGGAGGGGGAGTAACCGATGGAAACATCTCGGAGGAGAACTCTATTCATCTCACAATTCACCAGGGGGAACGGCTGGCCTCCAGAGGTTGTGGGGGTTCCCTCATTGACGCTTTACAAGATGACCTTGAATAGCCATTGGCCCAGAACGAGAGAAGGCGGTGGTGGTGGTGGGGGGGAACCTTTTCAGCACTGACTGGCCGAAGATGTCATTGACTGTTTTTTGCGAGCATCGGGCGAGAGAGAGAGAGAGAGAGAGAGAGAGAGAGAGAGAGAGAGAGAGAGAGGGCCAGGTCTGTTAAGGAGCAGATGATGGCAAAGCTGTGGCAGGTGGAGCCGTTTCTGAAGGCAGCCGGGCGGTCACCCAGGTCAGCTCCAATGCGCATGCGCACGGGCCTCCTGCCAGCCAGCTGGTCTCTGGGTCTGTGCCGGGAGACGAGTGCATATGTGTGGTGGGGGGGGGGATGGTGTTCATGTGCAAGAGGTGTGGGGCTGCGATGCCCCCCCCCCTCCAATGTCCCATTATTGGTTCCAGGAGGCTTCAGGGAGGCCTGCTGGCACCAATACGGGGTGGAGGTTAGGCGCCCCACCTCACTTTGATGCTAGCAGGCCTCCCTGAAGCCTCCTGGGATCAAAAGGGGGTGCCCCCCTCTGTTTTTCTTCCGGAAACCCAAAGACCAGCTAGCTGGTGCCCATTCTTTGGCTGTTTATGGCTGTTTTTTGTGCCCCAAACCCCTGGTTTTCGGCCCTTTTTTGGGTCGTCTTTGGGTGCTCCGGCGCCCGTGAAGATCAGCTGGCCGGCGTGCCTGTGCGTGCTGGAAATGAGGAGAGCAGCTGGTGACGGCGTCCCTGGCCACAGAGAGGGCTCTGTGTGCCGCCTCTGGCACCCGTGGCATAGGTTCACCATCAGGGATGTAAGATCTCCGGCCATCGAATCAAAGTTGGGCTAGACTAGAGGACCTCCAAGGTCCCTTCCAAGCCTATGATCTTCTACTGAGCTTGTATTTATGGTGGTTGCAGTGTCCCGGGGTCACGTGATCCCTTTTACGACCTAACAAGCAAAGGTCAATGGGGGAGCCAGATTCACTTAACAACCATGACTCACTGCAGGAAAGGGCCATCTATTGTGGCCGTATGTCCAAGACTGCCTGTCATGAATGTTTGGGCATAAAAACCACCATCCTTAAAAGTGTTTGTGTTTCTGCCTGCTCTCTCCCTGACTTCAAGTTAAGAAGGACCAGAGAAATATCTCAAAAGATGTAGCCAGAGCCAGCCTCAAAGGAGGCCTCCTAGAAAGAACGGACGAAAGAGAGGGTGAGTGATTCAGTTTAAAAAAAAAAAAAAACAGGGAAAGCCAGATGAGAATAAGGAACTTAAGTTGTGAAAGTGAGAATGAACTTATGGACTCAGTCAAGGGACTGCATTTTTACGCACAAACCATTTTGGGGCACTTGAAAAGATTTCAGATTCAGCCCTTTTTAAATAAAACCTGACCTTTTTTTTTTTTTTAGGAAAATCATGATAAATGGTGATAAATAAAATTATAAAAAAAAGATAAAGATAACGCGTTGTTCAACACAAAGGCCCAAGGTTTAAAAGCAGTGGTGAAATCCATTTTTTTTTACTAGACGTTCTGTGGGCGTGGCTTGGTGGGCGTGGCTTGGTGGGCGTGGCAGGGGAAGGATACTGCAAAATCCCCATTCCCTCCTCCCCACTCCTGGGGCCAGCCAGAGGTGAAATTTGCCGATTCTCCAAACTACTCAAAATTTCCGCTACCGGTTCTCCAGAACCTGTCAGAACCTGCTGGATTTCACCCCGTTTAAAAGTCTAAACAAAGAGGGTTTCTACATATTTCCAGCCTGGAATGATCCAGTAGGGGGGACTTTGAGATATACCCTCATTTTGCCTGATCTTCTGTTTGCCCTTCCGTGAAATGGGAGGGGGAGTCTGGGCCTCTGTTGTAGAGTTGTGAGTTTTCATGGGCTTTGGCAGGGGTGATTCTTGGATTCTCGGCCACTTTGGTTCCTCCGGAGGTTTCTTGTTGTAAACCAAGAGGAAGTTAACACGACAATATGCCGATGGTGCAAAACTCTCTCTGTCTGTGTCCCACCCTCCACACTCTTTTCCACACACTAAAGCTAGATTTTCTGGGGTTGCACAATACGCCAAGCCAGGGTTTCTCAACAACTGGGCAACTTGAAGAGGGGTGGACTTTAACTCTTAGAATTTCCCAATCAGCATTAGGCTTTAGGCTGTGTGAACTTCAACTCCCAAAATTCCTAGCATGCTGGCTGCGGAATTCTGATAAGCCCATGCATCTTAAAGCATTTTGCCTGGAGAATGCTGTGACCTGAATTGCATCCATCTTAAAGAATGCTGGCTGGGGAATTCTGGGAGCTGAAGTCCACACTTCTTAAAGCATGCTGGCTGGGGAATTCTTAAAGTTGGTCAGGTGGAGAAACACCGCACCACTCTTTAAATAAACCCCAAATTATATCCTGCCAAAAACCCTGCAGAGAGGCAGCCTGGCTTGCAATGGCGCTAGTCCAGCCAGCCCTGTTCAACTGCCATCTCTCCCCTCCCCCAAAAGCCCGGTCACTTACATGCCATGATCACCGTAATAGTTGTAGAACTCCATGTGGCTGCACGCCTGTATCCACCCTACAATCCAGGTCTCCTTTTTGGGCACCGGAGGCAACAGGACTTGAGCCGAAGCGCGGAAATGCGGGGTGCGGTACCTCAACACCACGCTGGACGACTCGTCGATGTTGGTGGGGACGGGGTCAATGGACGTCTTGATCTCCAGGACGGTGATGCTCTCCCGAAAGCCTTTTGCCTTGCAGCTGATGCTTTGGATGCAGCCCATGGCCCAAAGTACCAGCACGATCGCCAAAAGGCACCAACAATCTTCCTCATCGGTCAATTCAAAACTGATATCCATAGGATAGAAGACGCATTCTCATTAGGAGACCTGAACCTGTTTCTGGCAGGCTGAACAAATCAAACTTTTTTGGTTTTGCCCTAGGGTGTGAGTTTCTTCCTGCCAAATCAACAACTTTTGCTTCAAAGCCAGAAGGTGAGGAGTCCAGTAATCCAAGTTTCCTTGGTTTTTGTGGTGTGTGTGTGTGTGTAAAGACCGTTTCCAGCTGGCTTTGATTCCCTGATCGGTGAGTTACAATCAACTGGCCTTATATTTTGCTTTGATATATTTCTTCTTTTCCCCCCCTTTTTCTCTTTCTGTTCTGTTTTTAATCTTTTAAAACAAGACAAAGGCGAAGAATAAATGCCTCTTTTTCATCTCTAGGTTCTAGCTTCTGGGTGACGGCTTCACGTTTTCGCTTCCTGATGGGAGATTCATTCATAACTTCCCCTTTGGGAGAGCGGAAAAAAAGAAGTATAAATTTGGTTTTGTTTTTGGAACAGCCAAAAGGGTTTTTTTTCCCAAACATCATCCAAGCAAAAGCCCAAATTGGTAAGTTTTGGCATATTTAACCTATTGTCTCTTATGTATCTCTTTCTTCAGCTGTTGAAAAACATTTGCCCAGGTGTAAATGAAAGGGGGGGAGCAGAATTCAAAAATAGCTCAGTAAATAGTCATAGTTCTCTTTCTGGCCCTGCAGATTTATTTATTATGAAATTTATATGCCGTCCATCTCGGCAAGTGGCGACTCTAGGCAGCTCACCATGTGTAGAAGGAGCAGAATAAAAGCTGAAAATGTTACACGGATAAGTATTAGCACTCAAATGAATTAAATGAAAATTAAATAATGAAAGTTTGCCCTTTTGTAATTGTAATGGAAAATAAGAGATGAGCTCTTATTTAAGTGGAAATATTAGGAGGGGTGTGTGTGTGTGTGTGTGTGTATGTGTGTGTATCAGCATGCAGTACCTAATTCCTGGTTAAAAGTTGCCTGAATCACGAGATGAGTGGCAAAAAAATAGATGGATAATGGATGGATGGATGGATGGATGGATGGATGGATGGATGGATAAGATAGCTATAATAAGATAAATGATAGATGATATAAAGAGAAAACAGAGAGACAAAAGATAGATGATTGATGATGAATGATAGATACTGGGATGGAAAGATGATAGA